TCCTACACACTGAAGTATCGAAAGACTGGATGAGTTTTTTCTGTAATGTTAACTCTACTATCTAGCCTTAAACAGGATTGTTACATGCTACAACAAGGAGGAAGACTTACGTACCTAGTCTATCTTCCTCAATTAGGACTCCTTTTAACAGTTCTTCTTTTTTCAAATATTTGCAACTTTGAATAACAATGCGATCTCGAGGAAATTCTATCCACTGAATTCGGAAAAACAAAACAAAATCTAAGCTTTTTTTAATGGACATTTCCCTTTTTGGAATAAAGCTGTAGTGTTTTTGTCATAATAATTTTTACTCTATTGTCAACGGCTTTCGAGCTAAATCTCACGAAAAATATCTGCAGTCAGAGAAAAAAAATTTTTCGACTTGTAAAAGAAAGCAAAATCTTTAATGGGACATGTAAAATCCTTAAATTAGACAACTACTGGAATCCTGTTGCCCAGAGTGTGCACAGCTGTTGTAGGTAACCATTTGTCCTTTGAAGAGACAGAGATTAGTCCTTTCAATCTTGAATTTCACATGGGTTAGATAATAAAACACCAAATAAACATAAATAAATATCTCAGAAAACTTCCTAATTAATTACTTTTGTTAAGACCCCTGCTAGCCAAATCTGTTTTAATGATGGAGTGTTTTCTATTATTATATTTTTGAAACAGACATCCAACAATTACTACAAAACACTTTGTTTTCCGAGGATACCTGTCTTCGATTTTCTTTCATATAGATCAAAACAGGTTATGTGGGACTGTTGTAATAATAGTAGTCATGCTTGTGCTTTTCAATAAATCATTCTAAAATCTTCTGGATTTGTCAAAATCCTTAGAAAACACAATCATTATGAATAATATAAAGAAACTCAATCAAACATACAACAAATATGTCGAATATACCTTTTTTATAGCAATGCTAATTATGAAATAACAAAACAATTTATCATAACAATAATATTTCTGAAGAATACATCTGTGTAAATATAGACGATTTTATTTTTTTTAGATTTTCAAATATTATCATTAATTATATTAATATGATATTGTCTTTAAATAGTCAGTGATACACTTAGGCATTATATGCAATAAAAAACACAAGAAAACTTTTTTCAAGATAAATTTTATACTAATGGGGCGATATTATCAATAAAGTAGCAGAGATTTCTAATATTACACATGAATAATCATTCAAATACAGAATAAACACAAGTTACAGCGAGTAATCTCCACTGCTAAATTAACACTTGGAAAAAAAGTGATTTTAACAATAAATTTGAAAGATAAAATCTCTTTTGAGCCATATATTGAAGATGATAGCTTACTAAATTTTACAATTGTAACATAAAACTACAAATATTTTATGGTAATTTGAATACTACAATATGAAAATTTGTTATTAAAAATAAGCAATTAAACGAAAGGAACAACATTTTTACTTTGAATTTTGAAAATTACCAAATTTAAGGAATATTGATGTCCTATATCTCTGCTAAGTGTAAATTAACCTTAGTATACTTGGCAATTAAAACTTGAAAAGGACTCTAATAAATAAATATCCTTAGTCGCTAGTAATTATTAAAACATCTCTATTATACGTAAAAGCACCAAATTCAATTCAAGATATAGCTAACTTACATTTATCTGAGTATTATTCAGTTTTGTGATTTGTTATAAATCTATTAAATCTTTTTAGTATTCCTAAAATAACAATAGCAATATACACTTGAATTGTTTTAATTTTCTTTTTGCCTCTAAAAGAATAAATATACTCACCGATATTAACGTCGTTACTATGTCTCTCCAAGATACTGTACCGTAATTAATTTTTGCTTTTCACTATGTTTCTAAAACAATACTTCTAATACCTCCTCAAATTTATAAAGCATGAAAATTTTGATGGTTTCGTAGTTATGTAAACATTTTCTTATTATCATTAAAATTGGAGCTTTTGCTCTTCAATGAATTAAAATATGTTCTTAGGACAATATGCTTTATAACATAATATAAAAGATGTTTACTTATATCTGTTAGAAGTGTTTTTTGTTTTTTTAAAGATCTCTAGATATCTGATATTCAACTGTAATAATATAAAAGAATCTCATAAATGACTGTATCAATTTTCCCTATTAATTGAATACTAATTAGAAATATGCTTGGGATAAATCAATTTGAACTTACAATTTCATTTCTATGAACTTCATTTTTTTATATAATACAGGATACGACAATCTCTTGTTATACTAAATTCCTATGGGTCAAAAGATTTTGTATATATCATAATGAGTATGTTTTGGACATTATTTCTGTTAACTATAATAAATATTATACAATAATGAATCAACTACTTCTTGTAGGTTGCGGATTGCATACATTCCAAACTAGAAGAAATGATTCACTTCCTAATACTACATAAAAACATTGATGCAATAACATCAACATCTAATACGATTAAAAAAATGAATGTCCAAATTTTTCTGATCAAAAACAACAGAAAAAAAAACTGTTTTTCTTGCGCTGAAGTAATGAAAAAATGCATTTCTTTCGAAGTGAAAATAAAACATTTAACATAAACAACTTTATCTACTATGGATCGTCTTAAAAAACTTTAGCTTACGTATTGACTGGCTATTCTTCTCAACAACACCATATTAGTTTTCAAAGAAATTACAAACTTGGTATCCACTAGAATTTTCCAATCCATTTGAAACAAAAACAATAAATACCATGAATTATTGGAACAATAGCTATAGCATATTCCCCCTTGATGTCAAATCACAATTAAAATTCATAATTAAAACGTTTATAGTATCATAATTGTCTCTGCTTATTTGGAAACATCTATTAGCCCATTTTACGATGAAAGCAAGTAGAAAATTTCATGTGAGTGAGATATTTCTATTTTACTATTATGTGATCATTTAAAGGAAAATTTCTCAATGTTTGTTCCAAACAACAACAGGCAAGATGTCATGCACAAAAGTAGTGTAAAACAACATATTTGTGCCAGTTGCATAAATGTCAAAAAGGAAATTGCAAGATTTGAAAACAAAACTACTATTTACAATGAAATTATGCAATCTTAAATTCGACTACGTTATTATAGTTAAAAATGCCAAATAAGTGAATGCAAATAATTTCTAGGCTTTAGCATCTATTGCAACTGAAATATTTTGATAAATGATAAAGATTGGCAGTGTTGTATTGATGCTAACTTTAGCAAGTTAAACTTAAATCAGGTTCCATAGAGACAATAACTTATGTGGAGTTATATTTTAACACATATGATAGAATTGATGATTAGCACAGTAGTATTGAAGATAGTTGGTTTATCTTAGACAATAATGAATTTTATATCTAACATTTCTATTACTTGAGCCTTAGACAAATTGGATCTCCATTTTATTAAAAACTATGCAGAAAATATATATGGTGTTTATAAACAAACACACATTGATCCTTCACTATTTCTTTTTCTTGAAATATTTTCTTCAAAAAGTTGTTTTAATGATCTACAAAAATCACTTTTAAATAAAAAAGTAGTGATTATCTGCCTATTATTCAACAGTTTTGATAAGTATACTAATAATTAAATAAAAAGAAAATAAGGCAAAAGCTAGTGGATATTATTTTACAAATAAAATAACAGAGAGACTTTTCTTACCTATGGTTATAATATTATATATATCTAGAATATTTATTGCTATATCATAATAAATAGAATTCTAAAATTTATTAGTTCACCATTAAATAAATATGAAATCCAACCTTTATTAATGCGTTTAAATAATTTATATATTACAACATCCAAAATTTTTCACATAATACTATTAATACTTACAAATGAATAATATTTAATGACATAGTTTTTGGAAAAGATAATACAAAGTGAAATATTAAAAACTAATGGGTGTATATTATATTTCTATTATTTTGTATATTTTATTAAGTCTTAGGATATAATTAGATGTAAACATTTCAAGTATATATAATGACAGTTTGATATTATTTATTTCACACAATACATCATAACTAAAAGTTGGATTCTTATAATATGTAGTTAGATTTACAATAAGCTGTTAATAATCAGTGGTGTGTATTTGTTACTTGCTATATTGGCAATCTTACTTAAAATATACACTACCATTAGATTAATAATTAATTATACTCCCAGGAAGTACATTCCTATAATATTTAGTAACTTTGGTGGTTTCCTCATTAGAAATGTCTTCACCAAGACGCTGGATAGATTATCACCAAGTGGAATAATTTTTGGTTTATTTGTTTGAACGTTATTGAGGTCTACCTGCTCAGGTAGTTTCACAAGGTCGACAGTCTCTGGGTCTTTCGATATTCCTTTTACTTTACTCCCATTCAGCTTAGTTCTCTTAGATATAGGGTTCCCATTCAGTATTTGATTCAAAGATACAGATCTTTTCATTTTTACATCTATTGGAGTAGTTTGATTGTTTTATATTGTCTCTTTAGAGTATCAAATATGATCATTGATATATTTCAGTAGGATCTTCAGATATTTGGTCTCTACGATAGCATTGAAGGATTCCATATAGATAGTGACGTATCCTTCACAACTGAAATGGAAAAAAAAATATCGTCCTTGAGACGCATAAAGTTGTATTTAAGAAGGTCAATAACTTATACAACCCCTGTAGTCATGCTTTTTAGGTAAAGAAAAGAACTACTAAGGTCATGATCGTAGTAGGACAAGATTCAATATTATTAAGTAAAAATAAATTAGACCAACTAAAAGTGTTCTGTAAATAAATTATATTTAAAAAAAAATATTTTATACAAAAAGTAAATAAATAAAACCGAGCTTAGTATAAAAAAGAGAGGCATTTGTACTTGTACTAATAATAAACAGGTGCTGTAATTTTTTTATACTAACATCAGACAATCACAATAAATGATATATTACAGCGTCTGTCAATTATTAGTACAAGTTCAAATGCCTCTCTAAAACAGTATCATAATTAGATCAAATGAATAAGAGCCATTAAAATAGCGCTGAATAGAACATCTGAGGTCAAACTAGCTGCCAAACCTTCATATTTTGCAACTGTAACACTTTCCGCAGAATTAGAAGAAGAAGTAGCAACACCTACAGATGGAACAACATTGGAATGGGCAGATTCCATGCTTACGTCTGAAGGTGCAGTAGCAGTAGCAGCAGAAGCTGTAACAGAACATGTCTTAGCACTTTCTGGACATGAAGGAGTGTATGTAGTGATAACAACACCGTCTGTAGTATAAACTGTACTAACTCTCAACACTGGTTCACCATGTAGGACAGTTTGACCGTTTTGGGAAGAAAACGAAGTGGTAGCGGTGGATAGTGAGCAAATTGGACATTCAGTGACATCTACCATGCGTGTGCTCTCAACAATAGCGGTTGTGACGGAGTGAGCAACATTTGTTTTAGCAGATGCAGCTTCACCAGCAGCATGTGTCTTACTACTGGCACCAATAGCAGAACCATGAGTGTTGGTTGAAGTAGATGTTGTTGCAGTGGTAGTTAAACTGTCAGTAGCATCAATACCAGAACCATTACTATTGCTTGAAGTAGATTTTTCAGAAGTGGAGGTTGATCTGTCAGTGGCATCAATAGCAGAACCATTACTATTGCTAGAGGTAGATTTACTAGAAGTGATGGTTGATCTGTCAGTAGCATCCATAGTAGAACCATTACTGTTACTTGAAGTAGATTTGTTAGAAGTGGTGGTAGATCTATTAGTAGCATTGATATTAGAACCATTACTTTTGCTTGAAGTAGATTTGTTAGAAGTAGTGGTTGATCTGTCAGTATTATTCATAGCAGAACCATTACTGTTGCTAGAGGTAGATCTCTTGGAAGTGATGGTTGATCTGTTAGTAGCATCCATAGTAGAAGCATGACTGTTTGAAGTAGATTTCTTAGAAGTAGTGGTTGATCTGTCAGTGGCATCAATAGTAGAACTATGACTGATTGAGGTAGATTTTTTAGAAGTGATGATTGATCTGTCAGTGGCATCTATACTAGAACCATGACTGTTGTTTGAGGTAGATTTGTTAGAAGTGGTAGTTGATCTGTCAGTAGCATTGATACTAGAACTACGACTGTTGCTTGAGGTAGATGTTGTTGCAGTGATGGTTAAACTGTCAGTGGTATCTATAGTAGAACTATGACTGATTGAGGTAGATTTGTTAGAAGTGGTAGTTGATCTGTCAGTGGTATTCATAGTAGAACCACGACTGTTGCTTGAGGTGGATTTGTTAGAAGTAGCAGTGGATCTGTCAGTAGCATCCATAGTAGAACCATGACTGATTGAGGTAGATTTTTTAGAAGTGGAGGTTGATCTGTCAGTAGCATCAATAGTAGAACTATGACTGATTGAGGCAGAGTTTTTAGAAGTGATGGTTGATCTGTCAGTAGTATCCATAGCAGAACTATGACTGATTGAGGCAGAGTTTTTAGAAGTAGTGGTTGATCTGTCAGTATTATTCATAGCAGAACCATTACTGTTGCTAGAGGTAGATCTCTTGGAAGTGATGATTGATCTGTCAGTAGCATCAATAGTAGAACCATTACTGTTTGAAGTAGATTTCTTAGAAATGATGATTGGTCTGTGAGTAGCATCCATAGCAGAACTATGACTGATTGAGGTAGATTTGTTAGAAGTGGTAGTTGATCTGTCAGTGGTATTCATAGTAGAACCACGACTGTTGCTTGAGTTAGATTTCTTAGAAGTGGAGGTTGATCTGTCAGTAGCATTGACACTAGAACTACGATTGTTGCTTGAAGTAGATCTCTTGGAAGTAATGGTTGATCTGCCAGTGGCATCCATAGCAGAACCATTACTGTTGCTTGAAGTAGATGTCGTTGCAGTGGCAGTTGATCTGTTAGTGGCATCCATAGCAGAACTATGACTGATTGAGGTAGATTTTTTAGAAGTGACAGTTGATTTGTCAGTAGCATTGATACTAGAACTACGACTGTTGCTTGAGGTAGATGTTGTTGCAGTGATGGTTAAACTGTCAGTGGTATCTATAGTAGAACTATGACTGATTGAGGCAGATTTTTTAGAAGTGGTGGTTGATCTGTCAGTAGTATCCATAGTAGAACCACGACTGTTGCTTGAGGTAAATTTTTTAGAAGTGATGGTTGATCTGTCGGTAGCATCAATAGCAGAACCATTACTGTTTGAGGTGGATGTTGTTGCAGTGGTAGTTAAACTGTCAGTGGCACTTAAATAAGTAAACTGGGCTGTTGATGGAAAGAAGTCTGACCACTCTCCAGGAGGTATTGTGTAAACAGGGTTAGGATTTGATGTCACAGATAAGGTAACTGCGGGTTGAGTCCTAGGTGGTCCTTCTAGAGATAGGATTGCCCAGGGAAGTGTAGCGGGATCACGATTAACACCTTTATAAGCTGGTTTCAGAGGCATGATATTTTCATGGTATTCACCAACTATATTACCAGCAGGCAAGTACTGACACACTAAAACATACATATAGGGAGCATACTCTAGTGTAGCACAACCAATCTCCGTGGTACCTTTCCAGACAAGTTGTGTAAAATGTCCAGCCTCATCGCTATCGACCGAGTAAGGATCGTTGTAATTATACAAACCAATTTCATCAAACCAGGCGGTTACACCAGCGACTGGAGGACCATTTCCCCAGTATGCGTTTGAGCCAACAATGTAGCCCCATTGTGGAACGTCTGGATGAGACTTCCAACGACCACTGCAAACCCACCACGCTGCTCGTTGGGCTAACTCATCATTCCAGGTCACATTAGGAGTATCGACAAATATAGATCTGTACAAATTGTGTTCGAGAAGAACAGCAGCCTGTTGTTCTGGGGACAACAAACACTTAGCATCCCTAGATGCATTATACGGATCATTAAAAGGTATTCCGTCCACTGTTACAATAGGACCCGGAGCTCCAGAATGTGGATTAACATAAGGTAAAGGACTGAACGAACTAACATAAATAGTAGTATAACCTATTTGCGCCTTCGACACAGCAGAAAAAGCAGCTAAAAGCAGTGCCGCGCACAATGATAAGGCACTTGAGACCATTATATTATTTTCAAATATTTGGAATTATTGACTTTTCAGTAAAATATATAGCTTGGTGCGTAGACTTTATGGCGTTAGTTTTTTTTAGTTATTTGAGGTGATATACTTAGTTCTGTTATACTGGTAGCATCTGGGAGTATAACGAGATGATGCTCATGCCTGCAAGAAGAGAAGCAAGAAACGAAAGAATATTCAGACATAATCCATAGTAGTTTTATATAAAAATGTGCTCATGACTTACAATAAAAATGATTGTCTAATAGGTTCTGATTTTTTGACTGAACAAGAATAAAATACAAATAAAGTTTTACCATAAATCTTCAATAATAAAAGTGTGTAAAGGAGTAGAAACAAAGAATGAAGAAAAAGATTTGTAATCTTCAACAATTGGACTAAAAATCCAAGTAAAGCATAAAAACACAGCGTAGTCAATTATTCTGTTATGTCTAATAGGAAAAAATCAGTGTGTGGTGATTTCTTTAAACGAAAAAGGAAACAGAAAATATTGAGTTCTCAAAAACATTTCCAAATAGAGAATTAAAAATATTGTTTATTGTTTAGGCATTTTCACGTTGCAGAACAATAGAATCATTTTTGTCTAGATATTTTACTTTTGAAGAACATAAAAGGGAAAGTTTACAAGTTTAAGAATGGACAAATAGTTTTTTTCCTTTTTGCTATTGTGTTGGAAACAATTGTCTTTGTATTTGATGCAACGACAAAAAGAATAAAAGTGAAGAAAAAAAATACACAAGTGGGAAAAGAGACAATACAGACAATTCTAACCACACTATAGATATACCTGTCTCTTTGTGTTCTATTTTTGAATTTTTGCTCCTGAATTATTTTAGAGAATCCCCACTCTTACAGGATCATCGCCCCTGATTAATTAGTTATTTGGCATTTATATCTCTTTTTTGTATATATCACAATATTCTATAGTAAATCGATCTATAGAATGTCCAAAATTTATTACTTCATTCACAATAGGATATTAAAATTTTTGGTAGTGACCGTGGGATCAAATAGGAATGTATAATTTAAAAAAAGGGGTAAAGAATTTTTATTGCATTGTTACTGTTTATACATAAGTTATATAAAGTTATATACTATAAGAACCATCAACAATTTTTTTTCTTTTTTTAGTTCGTATTGCAAGAATCAGCACCTTATATGACGTTAGCATGTAGTAATATTTTTTATAATATTCAACAAATGTAGTAAAATTGTTCTTTTGTTAACCAAGAATTTATTATTTAAAGTTATTACTGTTCTATTAGAGCATCTATTATGATAGAGATCTAAAATATGATTATTCTCCTGGCAGATTTGGGTCTCAATTAGACTTTTTACTGTGATATTCCTATTCCTGATTTTTTCTCTTTTTTCCGATCTAGTATAAGAACAATATAATTTGTAAAATTCAATATTCTCCATTTGAGTGGAGTATTTTTTTCTCCTTTTCGGATACACAATAGGTAAGACATGCAAGAGTACTATTGAACTAGAAAAAATGACGTATACCTTGTGGAATCCTTAAAATCTTTTACAATGTCGTTTAATGATAGCTATTTGGTTTAATTTTAAGACAAACAAGAAAAAAAGATGATTATTATTATATTCGACCTATTGTTATGATGTTGTTTATTTATACTAGGTCAAAGGGTGATAAAAAGTTTGTATCTTTTTAAAGTAGCAAGACTTGATAACAGAGCATTTCTTTTTGTTTTTTGTTTGCCAATTGGTGGTTGAATGAAATGACTATAATAGATAGTATACAATGAACTATTTTTAGGCATGTTTTTTATTTTTAGATTATGGGATTTATTGTTGTCCAAAGCATCTTCTTGTACTAGTATTTAGGAATATTTCTGTTAGTAACTGAAATGAGGTATTTTTATTCCTAAGTTTCGTAATATGTCTAAAAATGACAATTTAAAAACAACCCTAAAGTTCTATGGCTTTTGTAAAGAATTGACTTACAATTTAAAAAATAAAACCTAACACAAGTCCTTGGGACAAAAAATAACAACAATCACTCTAGGACGGTTGCTAACTAAAAAAAGAAATAAACTTTGTTGGTCATTTTGCTCGTGGAATTAAACAAAGTACATTCCAACAAATAAATGCTATAGATTAGATAAATACTGAAGAATAACCTTCTTAAAGAAGATAATAACTTGTTTTTTCTACTTACTTACTATATTCATATTAAAACAGGAAAATATAATTAATTCATCTTGATATGGGTTCAAGCAGAAAATTAGTTTCTTTGTTGAGTTGCAAAACTATATTCAATCCCTCGTTTGATAGAAGAAGAGTTGAACAATCAAACTTGTTGTAGTTTTTCATTCTAAAAAAGTTAAACAATCAGACAAAAATTTGTCCAAATGTAGACAAAATTTAACCGGTTAGAAATTGGAATTAAGTATTTTTACTTTTGTCAAAAATTTTCTTTGCTTTTGTTATTACAGAATAATTGAAAAGTGAAATGAGGTTTCTGTGGTAATTGGTCTGAATGTGTGTTTACATGACAAGAGGATGTTTTTCTGTTTTACTGGAACGTACAAACAAAAAAATCTTTCATGAAAAAAAGGAAAAATTTGAGTTAGCTAAATATAAACAATAATAGATAAGAAAAATTTTCAAAGAAATTTCAATTTTTTCTAATACTTCCAATTTTTTTATTTTAATATAGCACCACCAATTTGAATTCACATTACAAGTGTAGATGTTACTTTTCTGGAGATATAAAAATTCTTCATTCTGTTTTTCAGAAAATTACAATAATGCCAAGTTGTGTTTTGGTTACTGAAAATTCGTCATGCAGATAGTGTTGATTAATAAGAATTGCTACTGCATCTTCATAATATTTGGATAGAACCAATACATGTATTAAACAGGATTGTGTTTCTTTTGGATGAATAATATTAGTATACATGTGTTTAGCGTTGGTGATCATATTATATGTCATTGTGATGTCAATATGTAGAGTAATTTCCCCTCGATCTCTTATTTTGGAATTAATAATTATATAAATGTAAAAGAAGCATACAATATAACGTAATTTATCCAGGTTGCAAAATTAATAAGTAAAGTCGTCTACTTATATGTGTTTACCTTTTGGCAATTTTTCATAATATATTAATTTATTTTGATTCTGTTTGATCTTGTCTCTGTAATATTGATTGTGCAAAACAAACATTTTTCTTCTTTGATATAATTACATGTTTCTCAAACCAGTAATATATCATTCCAGCAGAAATATCTATAAAAGATATTTTTGTTGTAGTCCAAATAGAGTTTAAAGTAAAAGTTAATGAGGATTCGCGAAATTTATATGATAAAAAACATCAGTATAGCGATTTCATAATGTTCTATTCGAGTTCAAACCAGTTAATACCAGAGTACTATCATATAAAAAACAGTATTTAGTATATTAGTAAGAAATATTTTTTATGACTAAAGATGAGACACTGGTTGTTTGGAGTTGTAGCATATTGTTTACTGTATGACATCGCGTTTTATTTCTTGGAAAGTAGTGGTGTTTGTATTTAATACAGTCATGACTTAACTTATTAGTAAATTGGATCTCTGGTTTATTAAAAACATATTAAAGTAATGTATATAATTATATAATATGTTATAAACAAATACAAAATGATCTCTCTTCTTTTGATTCTTTTCTTAAAATTTTTTTTCTTAAAATTTTTCTTCTTGAAAAATATTTTTCTCTTTCAATTATTATTATTAACGATATAATAAAACAGTCTTTAATAAGGAAACCTAATAGACATACTGTCTATGTTCTAACATATACTATATACAAACAAAAAAGAACGACATATATGAATTATAAATCTAATGAGTTCACTGATTAAAGACATAGGTGTTCTGTAAAAATAAGTTGATTTCTTCTTTTTGGTCCTATTTTTTATTATAAACAGGTTCAACACCATTACATTCAATAATGATAATCACAATTGTTATGGAATTTCTAGGTAGTTCTAGAAAATAAATTATGGTTTTTGTAACTTTGCAAACTACTGAACTTAAAACCGTTGAAGTGTCACCTTAAGCAGTTTCAGTTTTTTTTACAAAAAATTGTAGATTTCCTGTATGTTAGATATGACACAAAAATTTCTGAATCCTTAAAGATTCTTAATGAAGTTGGAGTACTCACAACTATATTAATCTAGACTACTACAGTTACAGACAACAACAAATCTTTACCAGTCAATGTTATTGTTGTTGTTGTTACTCCGTCTTAATCTATCATCTACACCGTGGCTATAGTTAAAATATCCACTAACAATGAAAACCAACCAACATCTAGCAACAATATATCATATATTACTACTGTTTTGGGTTAACAAAGGGCAATGTTCAAACTACTTTAGTAACCAATAGTATCCAATTTAACAAACTAGAAACAGGAATAATAACAACAATACCGGCTATATTCTGTGATGTGTATATTACTTCTTGTAGATCTAATAACAACCGCAAATGATGCTTTGCAACAGCTAGGTGTTGGTTAGTTCTCATTGTTAGTGAACTTTCCACTAATAGTGAATGGTGTTGGTGCTAGAGAGAGATGGAGTGACAACAATAACAACAATATCTACTGAAAAAGATTCATTTTCGTATTAGTGTGGAAGCATAAATTGATGTAATTGTGGTTAAAGTAGAGATATTACCAGTGGTGGTGGTATACAAAGCGGATGGAACTAAAGTAATCAGTACAATAATTTCAGTATTCTGATAATAAAGAGCTGTCGCTATTGACAAGCTTAATAGTATAGAGAATAGGCTAATCTTGTAAAAGTAGTCTAGCTAGAACATAATGAAAGTACAGCTATTTGCTAAAAAATTTTTTCAATAGTATCTAAGTCCTGGTTATTTGTATGAAAATAGATCTGATATGATTTTTAACTGTAAATAAATTTGGCATAGCCTTTGAATTAATTAGATAAACACTCTTCTTACCAGTTACTTTG